GTATTTCTATAAGTGGGGTAAAACTATGGAATAATTTAAGTGTGGACATAAAAAATAGTAATAGAATTGATGAGTTTAAACGTAAATATAAAGGTATGTGTCAATCAAGATATATGCAAGAACAGGCTTAATGATTAACCAGATGGAACATTGTGGGTGTGGTGTATGAATGTTAATACTCTGTGATAATTCTTTAGTATATTACTTGTGTGGTGTAGAAGATAATTATTTAAGAATGTAATTATGTAAGAATGGTAACACTGTTATAATTTTTTTATTATGTTACTACTTATTTATGTAGAGATACTGCTTGCAAACCAATGATGGTAAGATGATGTCATGGGGTAGGACTGGATAAGTCTGACTTCTTCCTACTCCATTCAAGCATGTACTAGGTATAAGCAAATTGATATTGGATTAGCATTTGTTGGATATGTGTAAAATTATGTGTGTTGACATATCAACTGTCTTTACATGCTTGAAAGAATAAATCAAATCAAATCAAATCAAAATCAAAGTTTGGGGGTTTTGTTCAGCACCTTTCAAAACTGTACCTCTGGGTTCTTTACCTTGTGTGTAGTGCATTCTACCGCACAGCATGGGAGTTGAAGATCTCTCTGACAGGGGATTCTGCTAAATGTTCCCAACAGACCCTCACAATACGTTTGGGTCTGCCGAGTCTGTCCAGCTTCCTCCCCCGCCATCGGATCCAGCTCACCACCAGGTGGTGATCAGTTGACAGCTCCGCCCCTCTCTTCACCTGGTACTTGGTACTTTTTCACTCAATAAAAAGTGTAACCCTTTATCTTAAGTTTATCCCATTCTGAAAATCAACAAATACAACAAGTGAAAAGTTTTGATTTTGGAGGTCGTAGGTCACAGTCAAAGTGACCTCATGTGTGTATACACTGTATCAGAAACACAAATTAATTTACAAAATTTAAAAGTAAAAGTCACATACCAGTGTTTGTCATGAGGCACTCACACATACACTAGGTGGATTGGGTACTGTATATATGGATCTCCTATCACATTTTTGAAGTTGCAAGGAAGCGGAGGGTGTGCATGATAAATGACATAGCTGACGCCATAGAACAAATGCATGTATGAGGCAAAACCCAAGTTAACCCAGAAGGTTACGTATTCTATTTAAAGTTGGTAACCACAAATTGCTTCTACTTTCTTATTTGTAAGCAGGTAAAACAAATGAGATGTGATGTGTTTTAGTGCATCTTAGAGGTGTACTGGAAAAAAACAAGCTATTTTTATCATTTCCATTCTTTATGTTATGCTGAGCTGACTGCCTCCTGGATCTCACTCCATACTTAATGCATATGCCAGTAGTATTGATGTTCTCATCTAACCCTTGGCAAGAAAACAAACAAGCATATTTCTGAAAATGTCAAGTGATTCCTATTTAAGTATATTGTTCAAAATCACCATTATTGTAGACTGTAGAAAAGTGTTAGAGTATTTGTTTTCCAAAAACTAGCTGATAACAAAATTCGTACCGTTCATTATGCCTATGATTCTTTCAGTTTTCACAGCACTGTAGCAGATACTGTATACAGTAAATAATGGTGTGAAGATAGTTTGGCCAATGGCAGTGTGATTTTAAAAAGCAAAGGAATTAAGGTCAAAGTAATATCAAATGGGATTATTCGAAGCTAGAATCAGAATCAACAGTTCTCTTGTTTCACATGAGCAGCCGAGTGTAAGTGCAACAATTGGGTGGTAATTTTACTGTAACAGGAGAAATCAATTAATCAATATCTAATCAGCATTTCCATATTCCTCCACTGATGGAATCTAGCTCTGGCAGATTGGAAATTGTTGATGGGATTTTCCAGAAAATCAATTCTCTGTCCAAGACACCGAGCCCTCAACCATGCCGTGTCTTACGCAACTTATCTCTAAAAATAGTTGTGATCTTCAAAAAGTGCACATAATATTATTTAAAATTAAAATGCTAAAACAATGCAGACATCAAATGAGCAATGGCATTTTTGTATATCAGTCCTGTGATGGTAATTAAACTAATTACCAAATATTGTAAACCAAGATATTTACCACATTTGACACAGTATGGATGTTTTGTTATCGGTGTCTTTATGAGACTTAAAGGATAGGTTCAACATTTTTCTTAAAACAGCAGTCAGGTTTTCACATGGACACTGAAATAGGTTGTGCTTGTTGTAATCATTTGCCTTTGTTCCTCAGGATGCTGAAGCCTCTTATTAACATTACATAAACTTTGTTCCCTTAAGATTCAGGTCAACTGACTCAGACATTTGTGTTCTCACATACAACTTTTCCAGATAATATCTAGATAGTTTTAAGGTTCCAGTACATGTCTGAAAGGGTTTTTAGTAAGGTGTTGGGTCACCACTGCCACCAAAGCAGCTTCAATGTGCCTTAAACACCATCTGTCCAAAGGGCAATCCCTCATTTTGTTTACTGATGATGGCGTCAAAGGTTGTGTCTAACATGTCAGTCCAAAATTTCCCAGAGGTGTTCAGCTGAGTTGTAATCATTTTCAAACTCATCAAACCATTCAGTGACCCATCATATTCAAGAGGCATTGTGATCCTGGGAGAGATCACTCATTTATTCAGGTTTTCTTCATTTTTTCCTTTAATTTGTTACCTGTATGCATCTGCATGTTATGTCAATTTACTTCCTACATTGCACTCCTAATAATAACTATGGGCACTAGAGGTCACCTAGCAATAAAACATACGTTGCTTACACAGACAGCTGATTCAGTTGTTTTTAGGGGAGGGCAGTCACCTAAAGAAAGAAGCCAAGCTGACCTCAATGGAACTTTGTAATCATAAGTCTAATATGCCTTTCCTCCATGAATTTCAGTCCTTGCTAACAGGCAGCCCTTCAGTGACATGACTTGATCAGATGTATTAATAGGCTCTTCAATGAAAATTAATTACAAGAACATTTCACAGCACAAGAGAGAGGCAGAGTAGATATACATTTCTGTGCAGTCTGTGTGATGTGTATTTTAATCAAAATGACATATTAATCTTTGCCACAAGTTACTTTATAATTTATGAGTTACTGGCAGTTTGATTATAATTTCATTTAACACCTGTATAGGTTTCTGGACTTAATTTACTTGTAGACAGTATGTCTGAAATATTGTTAGATATATTCTATAAAGTATTTATACCCAACTGTGCCCATTTAAACTGTAATTTACTGAAACAGAAAACCAGTAAAATAATGGAAATACACTCACTACAGTGTTAATGGAAACTGCAAAATGTGTGAAGTTATTTTTACTTGTAGCCTTCAAATACAGTAATGTTTTACTATCTCCAGAGACATGATTTCAAAAGAAAAAGGGAAATCACCTGCTTCTGAGCAGGCTCATAGTGCTGTTTACTGCTCAGTGTGTTCACCCAATTGTATGTCTGCACCTTTCAGAAAAATGTTGTTGTGAAAAATGGAATTCCTCAAGTTAGCACAGTGAGTCCATGATTATTTTTCCATTATGATAAATGATGTATTTATTGAAATAGACAGTGGGATGGAGTGTTCTCTCTTTGCAGATGACAAGGCAATTTAGAAGAGGATGAAACTTGGAATTCATTGTTAAGAAAATGCAGGAGTCTCAGAAAAGTAAACATTTTCAGTTCATAAAACAAAGATTATGTTCTTTACAAGAAAAAAAAACTGAAGTAACATAAAATTTAAATTGTGCAACCATGAATTAGAAAGAATGAAATGCATTAAATGTTTAGGGCTGTGGTTGGATGGAAGACTGACAAGGGCTGTACATATAAACCTCTGGGCAAATGTAAAAAAAAAAAAAAAAAGTATTAAATATTATGAGGTGTTTAGCTGGGAGAGAATGGGGGCAGACAGAAATGCTTTTAGGGCTGTTTAAACTGGATTAATAAGATCAGTATTAAACTATGAGTGTATGGTATTTTGGTCAGCAGCAAGTACATCTATCAAAAGATTAGAGAAAATTCAATATCAGGCTGTGAGACTGTGTACAGGTGCATTTAAGACAACTCCTATGGCAGCGTTACAGGTGGACATGGGGGCCACAGACAAATTTACCCAACAAAGGATATCTTAAAACCATGCTGGGAAGGTTTTGGATGGACAGTGGAACACAAAGCTGTAGAATTAAGAATAGGTCAGTCCAACAGCACCATTGCCAACTAAACACCCTTGGATACTTCCTTTTCCTTCACATTATAGGAAAAGATGAGCAGTTATTGTGATTACATTCAGATCGTCACGTTTAAGTTCATCACTGGCTAGTTTGCATTACAGTCATTCAGATAGCAGACCAGACATCTTGACTGAAATGTTACAAACACTATATAGAATTCAAATGATGGTGCTAATACTTGCATTTTTATGGGTACCAGCACACATTGGGTTAAAGGGAAATGAAACAGCAGTCAACTTTAGTAGTACAGAAGTTAAAAGTATTATTAAACAGAAGCTGAAGGAGAAGTGGCAAAACAGTGGTAGGAAGAAAGTAAAGGGCGGTCGTTTTATGGGATTCAAAGGAAAGTAGGAGAGATGAGAGGTACTGGAAGAAGCAGAAGAGATGAGATAGTAGTATCAAAACTTAGATTTGGACACACTGGGCTTAACAGCACACCTTTCCAAATAGAAAAACATAATACAGGCCACTGTCAATACTGTGGACAAGAAGAGACATTGGAACACATCATCTTACACTGTCAGAACTATGAAACACAAAGAAGAGACCTAAATCAAAACCTTAGAGGGATTAAAATTCTTTATGATTTAATAGATATTTTGAGAAAATCCTCAGGAAATATGTTACCAGTTTTTGTGCCTTAGAACAACTAGGTTAATTGAGAGAATACGTTTTTTAGGATTATTGTTAATAGCAGCTTCTTGATCCCCACTCCTTACCAATTGGTGGCGCTAATGCACCAAGAAGAAGAAGCAGAAGAAGTAGAAGTAGTAGAAGAAGTAGAAGTAGTAGTTCATGTGATCATTGACGGTTCAAAGGTCGGGTTTGTAAGTTTCCATGTTATGTTTTGAACAAATGCTTGACTTTGCAGCCGTTGAATACTATTGGTTCCATGTTGATATTCGTTGCTGGCCGACTATCAGTAGTAAGAACTGTCTAAAGCATTCTCTTTTGTGTGCGGTAGTAATTAGTATGTGTATTGTTTTGCCTCAGTCGCTGTACTTGCTATTGCGAGCTTATAACCAGACTAACGTTTGTCATCAACTTGCTGTTATGCCCCTGAATTCCACGTTTGTATACGTGTCAGTTTAGGTGCTTGTGTTTGTTCTTCAGATGGCAAGCCTAGTTTTGCTGTTGTCTCAATTATTCATGCTGCTTTCATGATTGATAATCATCTGTGAAACACTCTTGAGAACCTGAAAGCCTGTTCTTGACCAGGCACCATTCCCAGTGCCCAGAACTGAACACATCGTTGCAGAGGAGAAACTTTTAGAATGTCTGTTTTGCATTGGCATTATATGGCATTGTAAGGGGGCGGTTTCAAGATGATTGAAGAAGAAAAGACAGGTGAAAATGAGGAGAAACTCAATTAAATAGGGGAAATCACTGTTCCTAACTTGCTCCAGCACATATTCAACATGCCGAGTTGACTGAATGGCTGATAATGACTAACTGTGCCAGAGAAAGAGTCCAGATAAGACAGACTGCTGGCCACAAACAATCCAACACAACCTAACAGCCCACTGTCGCTTGGTGTTTCATACTGGCCCTAATAAATTAAATTGGAATAACTTTGGATGAATTTATTTAGAGATGTGATAGTAGTGTGGCTACACAGTAGCCAAGATATTTGAAATGGTGTAATACTAGTTCACTTATGAAGGCAAAGCAGTGAAACTGAGAAAATCGCTTCAGGTGTGTCTTTCATGAACTGGATAAATATAAATATCCCTGACATTTTCTGGCAGACATTACAACAGTAAATCATTTTTTGCATAGAAGTTCCTGCTTGAATCAATGAAGCTTTTGTTAATATTGGTCATTCTTTCCTGCAAATTCATAGCTGAAATGCAGCAGTCCTTCATAAACACATTTGTAAATTCTAGGCAGGGCATTTTCATTTTTAGGACAAAGCTTTTATCATGAAAATGAACCTCTTATTGTTCTGTACTCTTATTTTTGTTTGCTTGTTTGATCTCAGCAGCAGTGAGAGAAGCACTATGGGCCGTCTGGACGGGAAGGTGATTGTGCTGTCAGCCGCTGCACAGGGGATTGGACGTGCTGCGGCAATAGTAATGAGTTTAAATAAGAATTTCTCACTGACGTGTTCACTGCCGTATCACAGATGGAAATAGTTTATTTTATAGCTTGTGCACAGATTCAAAGTTTTGTGTAATTTTGTGTATGCAAAAAGCACATTTTAATGTTGCTGACAGCCACTGATGTGTCTCATGTACCATCATGCTGCAATAATAATGGTGAGCCAAAACATCTTCTTCCACATTGCTGTGCTACAGAAACATGCACTGTGTATAAATGTTGTTGTCTGCTTAAGTCCTAGTTTTATTTAACTCATATTTAACCAGACAGCATCCCTGTGAAGTTAGCAACCTCTTTTTCAAGGGAGCCCTGACTAGCAGACTGGCAATACACATTCAAACAGGACAATACGCTGGTGACCAAGTCACATAGGCTAATGTAAACAAAGCTAAAATGATGCAGTCACTCCATCAACTATCACCTGACTGTAGGATGAACTGAAACTGGGAATTGAAGGATTAGGGTTAGAAACTACCATTTTGTGATGACAGATAACTGCGATCTAGGAGCTGGCACTGTGACATGAATTATTGCCTCAAATCAGAAAGAGTGGCAATGTGCATTCAGGCAGCAATGCAGATGTGATGCTAAGTAGTACCAGGCTTTAGTTATTTCCATAATTAAAAGCTTATTTAACAAAATGGCCTTGATGTATTTTAGAACAGTGCTATGCTTCAATCATATAAAAATATTCTTTCTTCTACAAGAAAATACTTGGTTACCAGTGTTGTAACATTATGCACAAATATATTGTTGAACTACTTGGAACTGGATCAATGTTTTTCAACTGTAGGCATTTGCAAAAGAGGGCGCTCAGGTCACAGCCACAGATATCAATGGAGAGAAGCTGAAGGAACTGGACGGCATTCCAGGTAAGATTCATTTCTCTTGGTTTACAGCTGCCACCTGCTGGACAAACCAGTTTGATGCAGCCAGGATGGCTGTGCCAATATGTTTTCCCCTTTTCTTCTTCATAATCATGAACAGGCCTCTGTAACTTGGAACAAGATAGATTTAATACATTTGAGCAGGAAAAGACAGAGGTTGTGCAAGGTATGTCTATATTACAGTGCCTATAAAAAGTATTCACCCCCTTGGATGTTTATTGATTTATAAAATCAATATAAATATAAAATCATTGGTTTATAAAATTAATAAAAGGGTAAAACATCCAAGGGGTGAATACTTTTTATAGGCACTGTAACTGCCCAGGTTTTGTCAAATTTGGGTAACAGACCATTTAGTGTTTGCCCCACTGAACATAAGCAGTACCTCTGTATTGTTACTATAAAAGTAGACAGTTCAGGTGTCATTAAAACCATCAGGGTCTTGTTTCATCTTCATCAACAGGGATCAAGACCAAGGTAGTGGATGTGACTAAAAAGGAGGAAGTGGACGCCCTGGCCAAGGAACATAATCATGTAGATGTGCTGTTCAATGTTGCTGGGTACGTTTCCCCATTTTTGCTAATGTGTGTGTGTGTGTGTGTGTGTGTGCACATCCGTGTGGGCCCACTTGACTACATTTCCAAACAACGTTTCTCTAATCTCAACTTGACCTGTTTGTAATCTTCTTAACAAATGTCAATAAAATTGGCACCTTTAAGGCCCAGTAACTTGACAAGGGGGTAATGCAATATTTTGACCAGCATTTGTTTTTTTAGTTTGATCATTTAAATCTCAAATGGCTATCTTATGCTCTTGTATATTTCAATTGATAAATTAAACATTTTACATTTAAGGCTTGTGTTTAAATGACTTTTGGGTTTGTTTGCCATGCACTCTATACAGGTTTGTGCACCATGGCTCCATCCTGGACTGTGAAGAGGCCGACTGGGATTTCACAATGAACTTAAACATCCGGAGCATGTACCTCATGTGCAAGGCTTTCCTACCTAAGGTGAGCTTTGCCCATATTACCATATGCTTAATACTGTTTATCCAGCTGCTGAGTGACTGCAGTAGGTGCAGCTGTAAATTGAGCAACGTGCGCTTTTATTTTGTTCCCATGCATTATCTGCTGGGATTAGCTCTATTACCCTCAGCCTGTGACTTGATGGGAACTGACTGCCCCATCACTAATCCAGCTTTAGCTGCAAACTAACCAAACGGGCTCCAAGGGGACATTTTACTTGGGTCATAGCACATTTGTCAAGCCTTTGTTACATAATTGTTATACAATTGTTAAATAATTTAAACTTTATTTTATCAATTACAGTCTAAATGCTGTATTTTTTTTTTATTTTGTCATTATAGATGTTGGCCAAGAAGTCAGGAAGCATTATAAACATGGCCTCTGTTGCATCAAGCATAAAAGGTGAAGGCTGTTCCAGAGATCTCAATGTAGACGCATGACGAACAAGTATTATGACCAGTTAAAGGGACACTGAGTCATTACAGTATGACGGTATTCACTGTAATCCTCTTACCTCATATAATAGCTTTGCGTGTGTCTGTGACACAGGTGTTGTGAACCGATGCGTCTATAGTACCTCCAAGGCTGCAGTGATTGGACTCACCAAATCTATAGCGGCTGATTTCATTGACCAAGGCATCCGCTGTAATTGTGTTTGTCCTGGTAAGTTTAGAACAACCTGCCAAGAAACTGCCCCTTTATTTATCCTCAAGGATTACACACAACTGCTAGCATTTTAATAGATACAGTAATAGTATCCCGGGGACATCCTTGAGAGCTAATTAAATTGATGTCAGACTGTCTGAGGACCTTGTGTATTTCCAAGATATACAAGCCTTGAGTTTGTCCCTTTAAAGCCAGTCTAAATAACTGCTGTATAAATTAGGAAAGGTTTTCTCAGTTGTCAAGAATTATTTGTAGGGACACCTGGAATGAACCCTATCATACTGATTTTTAATTATCAACATCCTCTAATTAGCCACAGACTACAGTCTATACAGTAGTGTCTGTATTCAGTATTGTGTTACACAGGGTTTCAGAAGAAAGACAGCTGCTTTTTATATTTCCTCAGGGACTGTTGATACTCCATCGCTGAGAGGTAGGATCCAGGCCCAACCTGACCCAGAACAGGTACTGTAGGCTCTTGCTGTCATTTTTCACATTCTTAATCTGACAGTAATGCCTACATGAGTCATATAACAGGTACAGTACATCTTAATCTTGGTTTCCAAAAATAGAAACCCTGATGCTACGAATGCTACTTCTCCTCTCTACAGGCTTACAAGGATTTCATGGCAAGAGTGAAAATTGGCAGAATGTGTAGTGCTGAAGAGGTGGCGTACCTGTGTGTATACCTGGCCTCTGATGAAGTGAGTGCTTGCAGAGTCGTGTAAAAGTGTCATGTACAGTATATAAGTGGTATATTGATAGTCAAGAAGAGCAGTATGAAAGCCTAACCCTAATGTAAACCTTTCATATCTCAAAAGATATCAATTCAGATAAAGCTGCTGCTAATTTATCAGTAGTGAAATAATTAACCTGACATCTGTCTTGGGTGCAGTCAGCCTATGTGACTGGGACGGAACAAATCATCGATGGAGGATGGAGACTGTAAGAAATCTGTGGTCAGCTCATCATGACAGTAGTGGACACAGTTGCTTCTTTCTTTTTCAGTTTTCTGAAAAATACTATACAGCGCTTATTCATTCCCTAAATCCAAGTTAAGTGTCCACAGTTTTGATCTATTTTGATTTTTTTTTCAGTTTTGGGGAGAAATTTTCTGACTCCAGTCTATGCTGCAGATGTGTCTATGTAATGGCAAAACATTTCAGGTTGAGAGACCTTATAATAAACTCACAGTATCACATTGCAATAATAAACACAGCTATTGTTAATATTTTTCAAAGATATATGTGAATTTCAGTGTAATTAATGATTAAATGTGTTTAAACTTCTATGAAAACGTGTTCAGCAATACACTTTGTGACCTTTCCATTCAACCCCCAACCGAGCTCTCCTCTGCGGAGTAACGTACGTACTGTAGCCTACTTGTCCATCACTAATACCGTTTCACAGCAGGTCCATATAACGCAGAACTACTGGAAACGCTGACCCGGACAATTCACGGGCGATGACAGTGTTTGCGAAATGAGGTGAGCTGCTTTTCCTTTAATAATGCTACTTTGTGATCCGTCGCAGGCGTTGGCTGAGTGCCTTTTAATGGTAGGATGCACATGGTCACAACCGGCTAACTACAGGCGAGTCGTCCAACATCGGACACCTAGCTAAATTTGATGGTTGTAACTATGTATCAGAACAGGGGACCGAGCTTCAGATAATTTACAGAAGGCAGATTTTCGGTGGCCTCACTGTTAGCTTAATGCCAGCTTAAGCGTCGCGTGTCAACGATAACTGGTTTGGAACTTGGTACCAGTTAAATGGTATCGCTGCTGCTAATCTTCCTGACAGTGGCATGGTGATGTTGCATCGAAATCCGTTTTTCCCATCGAGCTGTTTCCCCCGAACCTGAACCCGAACATTATCCTAACCACAACCACTGAGCTCACGCCACGTGAAACCGAGTTTTAACACGGGAGCACATTTGGACGTGGAAACACTTAGACACAAGACCTGTGTCTGACAATGGATCCAGTTTGTTAGGTTTATTGATGCTAGTTATCTCTAAGCTAACTTCTCTAGCATCCGTATTACCCTAACGCTAGCTAGATACAACATATCCCATATGGTCGAGCTGTAAACATTTGATTAGTGTGGTTTGTTCACATTTGGACTAACTAAGGCCCATGAATCGCAGTTTACCACCCCAAATCAGAAAACGTTAGGGTGGTGAAAGCTTTTTTCGGCTCTTTTAACCAGTGGAACTCAGAGAGACGAAGCGGACCACTTGGATATATAAAAAATAACCGTCACCTGATATGCCAGCTTCATAGCTGACCGTAGCAGTAGTCAAAACATGGAGAGAATCAATGTGTGTGAGTGTTGATTACGTGGTGTGTATCTAAGAACATTCTGTCATGACATCTAGTGACATGTCATGACATTACACATAAGAAAATATGATTACAATTACGGTTAAACATATCATAATAATAACAATATTCATCCAGCCTGCTGACAATCAAACTTTTCTATCTGGTTATCCTTGACCATAATGCACCCTGCAAGAAACTCATGAGAATGACTAAGCATTTAACAGCCTGCCTAGACATCCTGTCTCCACTAAACATTTCTAATACAAGTATCTAACCAATATCTATCTGACTAAAAAATACGTAACAGTGGTATGTTAAAAAAGAAAAAATAGAGTTGCAAATAACTGTGCCTGGTATTACATTGAAAACAATACACCAGGACATTATTTGATGTGATACCTCATCAATTTTATTTATTTAAAATAAACATTCACTTCAGGCCTCCAACAGATTTATAAATCACTATTTTCAGTGTTAATTTGGATTTTACATACCGTCCCAACTTTTTCTGATTTGGGGTTGTAGACAGGAGTTGTGGTCTGAACACTGGTTAGTTTTCTTTGCCCTCCTTAAGTGTTCATGGCCAGTCACCTAACTAATTTTAATGAAGCCCATCCTTTTTAAACATGGACATCTTTACAGCTAAACTTGTTTTTAACCCTTATTATTTTGCCATTCCAAATTCCACACCTGTAGCAACAGCACAGTTCTCCATTATAAAGTAAACAATAATGTGTTTTTGTTCCCCCTGATAAAACCATGAATGGGCACCTGAGGTCAGAGCTGGACATACAGAAGCGAAAGGACTGTCCCTCAATGACCAACCACACCCCTCGGTTCGATGCAACGTGAGAGAGAAGTGTGTGGACCAGAACTGCTGTAGTTCATTGCCATGGACGACACCCAACCTGAATCCACACAAGAGCCGAGCCCTGTACCCAGTGCAGTACCCAGCCCGCTGCTGGACAGAACCGCTTTGCCTGGAGTAAATCATGTGGAGGTAAAGTAGTTTGCTCCTAATAATCTCTCACACTGTTTTTACTGCCTGAAAAGTGTAGTTATTAAACTCATGAAAACAGGTGTCTATTATGTTTTTTATTTACTAAAGAATTTTTGTAGGCTACTGTAAAAATGATGTGGTGTTGTCATGCAACTCTGCTTCTTTGCCTCTTGCATTAGTCTGCTATGTTGTTTTGACATGGTTTTCTCAAACCTTGTTAAATTACCTTAGACACCTTAAAATCAATAACAACTTAGATAATTTGTTGATCATTTGCTTTTGAAATTATGAGAATTAATTGAAATGTAGCCAGAGGAAAATTCCAAAGTCATACATACCTGAAAATGGCAGAGCCGGACGATTTTCATAGGTGTGGCCAGGCTGGGGCCAGTACTCACTTTAGGCTGGCACATTAATTAGCATCTTACCCATTTAGCCTTTTTTGGTTTACTGTTATTTCTTTTTACTGTTTTTATTATTAGCAGCTTTCAAGACTTCTCTATCTTGTTGCTGTAACCCAGCTTTTGGTTTCTCTGTTTCTAATGTTCAGGAGGTTAATTTCAAAATTTGTGATACTGGACTTTATAAAACTTGAATTGATCTTGTAACATATATTAGCAGAACTGATTACAGCACAAACTAACGCCGAGGACCCCCGCCACACTGAGAAGGCTTTGTTTTTCCCCTTTTCCAGCCTCTGCTACCTCAGCAATATATCAGAGGGCGCTCTGGGTGTCACCAATTTCATATCTTCATCTTTTGATAAGATAGGCATGTGTAATCTGTGGACTTTGCTCTCTGTCAGTAATACTAAAGGTGTGACATTTCAGTGTTTTGCTATTAATAAAACACTGGAACATCTGTTTTAAAATATTTGGAAGTGAAATGGGCAGAGTGGATATAATTCAGTTCATATTTATGAAAACATTGCAGAGTGTTAAAGTTGAAGCTGTAAGCCAAAATGCCTCTCGTCGTATTCCTTTGGAGATGTGATTTTTGGGCAGCTCACAAAACATGTTAATACTAACCTGTCCTCATCCTGCTCTTTCAGCACATAAATGTGAACCAGATCCAGGTGGAGGTACAACATTGCTCCAGTCCAAATATTACTGATGAGGCCACCTATTTTATTCCTCGAAACCCTGTGGTGGATGCTGGCCCAGACCCACCACTGGTCTGCTGCCCTTTGCTCCATAGATTTTGCCCCTGTCCACCAAGAGCCCTCCTGGCCTCTCTCATTACTAAAAGTAAGTAATAGGGGGCACTCTCCTGTTGGCTCAGTTGGTTTCTACACATATATTTGTTGTGTGGCACTCTCTTCTTTCATATAAGATTAAATAAAACTACAGATCACTTGACTTTATGTGCTTAAATAAATGCAGCAATGTTGTATATAAAGGTGCATTAACTATGGTTTTACACATTGAATTAAATAAAGTTAAAATGTGGCAGGATGTGGTGTCTCTCCACTAGACTAGCCCCCTCCATGATACTCTGCTGCCTACAGCACTTCTGTTCTACCCGGTGTTGTGAAAGTCTGTTCCATAAATTAGTCCCGTCTGCCACCTAGCCAGGGTTCTAAGGCACGTTTTTCAAAATGTAAGTGGTCATTTCAAACAGCTAGTCATGGAGGAGCTTCATTAGCACAAAAGCTAATGTGGTGTTTTTTTATTTTTTTTTTTATTTTTGTAACATTAGTGACTTAGTATGGTCATGATTTTACCTTTGTATTGAATTAATATTTTAAATTTGGAGTAATTTTGAGCTTTGTGTAACATTAGCATTTAGCACAGGTGTACATCTTTACTGAGGAAAGGCGCAAATGCAAGGATTGATCATGAGATTTCAAGAATTCATACTGAATAAGAATCCCATTAATCAGAAAATCAGTGTTTTTATCCTTCTCTAGTAATTAACTTTACATTCATTCATGCATAACTGTTGAAAAATGAAAGATGAAACTAATATACTGTCTTAATAAAGGGAATCAGTTGCTGCATCCCTGATCCAGACTGATTTATGTTTACAACAGACATCTATAATGGATGGACAATGATTTTTTTTTGTTTTTTTACAGTAGTAATTGTATTTGTTGTAAATGGCATTATTTTTCTTTAAATTACATTTAAGGAAGCTTTTGAAGTTGACAATTGTAACATAGCAAAAGTCTGTAATGACTAATTTATGAGTTACTCTCTAACTCCCACACTTCTTAAAGTATTTCTCTAAGGTAATGATCACTGATTATTGTCAGCGACTATAAATCTTCTGTCTGTCTCCACTGTTCTCTCCAGTCCTTTTGGCAGCTGTGCTCTTTGGGGCCGTGTGGTCTATCACAGAAGATGAGTGTCTTCCAGGGGGAAACCTGTTTGGCATCACAATACTTTTTATCTGTGCAGTCACTGGGGGTAAACTGGTGGCTCTCATCCATCTGCCAAAACTTCCACCGTTCCCACCACTGCTTGGTAAGGCAAATAATTCACTGGTTATGATTTATGTGCTATCTATCCACTCCTGTATTTTAGGTTTAGTTACACAGATGCATCCATCAACTTCATCAGCGACCAAACCTGTCAGTGTTAAAACTGCTTATTTGTGAGACACATTACATCAAGTCTCAGCTGTGCAATCATTATTTATCAGTATATTAGTTCTTACAGTTGTAGTAGTTCAATCAGTCATGGAGTATTTTTAGGACGTTTAGCAGATTTAAGTTGGTAATGGATGCATAGTGCTGTCATCTTATTACCCTCATTGATCCAAATGTTTTCCTGGTAATTCTCCCAGTTCAACATTAACCTAAGAGGCTAGCATTAGCTAACAGGCTACTTCAGCTGACTCCAGATAGCCTATCTACAAAGGGGTAGTAGCCCTGCCCTCTGTATTTGTACAGCACAAAGACTGGTATTGATTACAGTTCACTAATGTCAGTATTAGAGCAGTTCTTACATATATATATATATCATGTTATCTGTGCTCACTCAAGTTCAACCTAACTGTCTTTTTTCTATTTGTTGTATTGTTACTCTACATGATTATGGTCCTGTTGGCTTGAATATACATTGTAGTGATCACCATTGTATTCAATGATATTGGAGGAAAAAGACTGTTTAATCTAAGATATTTGTTGTCATTAAGTATGAAATGTAAGAGAAGTCAGAACTGGTCAGGCTTTGGTTAAATATCTCTGATTTACCCAAGGGGATGGAGTCTAATATGCTATTTTGGCAGTAATGCTGGCTTAGAATAAATCAAAACATTGACCAGTAGAGACAGGCTAGTACTGTATAGCCTCTTTCTGTAAGTAATTTATTACGCTTTAAATGATATATAAGGTGCATTCCTGGTGTTATGAATTCAGAAATGGAAATCATAAGCCTCCAACTGCAGTTCCCACAAGATAAGAATCAAGGAAACTCCTCATTTTCAAATAACATCAAAACATAGAGTGAAGTACAACTTGGGGTTTATTTCTCTCGAATTTCTTTGCTCTTCTGTGGTTTTCTTTTAAACTTTGAGTAGATGATCAAAAAATGGCCTTGTTTACCAGTTCACTGTCGGTTTCTTTTTGGCAGCAACTGTTAAGAGGATTTGTGTCTTATAACAAGTCTGTCTTCAGTTTGGAGGCTAAAAGTAAAGTTTGTTTTTTTTAATCCACACTCATCAGTTTTCAAAACTATATAGTATTATTTTCCTTGTTATATTCTATAACTTTGGCATATGCTATATATGCATAATTATAAGTCATAATCAAAATTTTTTTTTTGCTCTGTAGCTGTATGAGAGACAGTCCTTAAAGAAAAAACAATAGTTCTTGTTTAAAAGAGATCATTTTTCCTCTCTCATGTCAGCGTGCCTGTTTCAAAAAAAAGCCTGTTTCAGGTATGTTGCTGATGGGTATCCTGCTGAGGAACATTCCCGTTATAACAGAGGGGGTGCACATTGACTTTAGGTGGTCTGCTTCACTGAGAAACATTGCCCTGGCAGTCATTCTGACCAGAGCCGGTCTGGGGTTGGATCCCACGGTATGCCTGATACACAACTATCAAAACTGAATATCTTCAGACTGAACAGTTTGATTTCTTCATCCGTTTCCACTTTTCAGTTAATTAATAAATCATTAATTATTGCTATACTGTATACACCCCCATATTGCGTAAGTGGATTTTGATTAATTACTGTTACAGTGTCCTGAATTATATGTGTCTGTGTTGTCAGGCTCTTAGGAAAGTAAAGTCTGTGTGTATACGTGTGGCATTTGGGCCCTGCATAATAGAGGCTTGCACCACAGCTCTGGTCTCGCACTTCCTCATGGGCTTGCCCTGGGCGTGGGCCTTCATCCTTGGGTAAGTATAACCCTACTCTTTATTTGGGGAATGTGTTCCATTGTGTCATAAATGAGGGGACTCAAACATATTTACCATATCAATTTCAGGATTACTTGTTAGAAGTTTTTTTTTTTTTTTTAAATAATCACACTAACTAGTTGCACTTCATTGTGTTTTAGGCATAATTGTAAATTGATAAAACTGATTTATGCCTATCAGTTTATACTCAGTAACGGCAAAGTGAATTTTTAAGAAATTGTTGCAGATATATTAAAAATCAAAACCTGAACTCTCTCATTTACTGAAGTATTCTGATTCTGTGCTGTGCTGTGCTCACACGCATCCTGTTTGTTTTACTTACTGTTGAGATTGTTTTAGAATTTGACCGGAGTCAACCTGTGGCAAATTAAATTGATTGGACATAGTTTTGAAAACTGAGTAACCGGGCAAGAAATACCTCAGTCAGGGGGTGACCAACAACAGTTACTCTAGCAGCTTCAGAAGTCTTTTGTAGAGACGGAAGGACACCCATCTCAGCATCATTCCATCAGTCAGGCCTTTATGGTAAAGTAGCTAGATGGACGTTGCTTTGAGTAAAAGGCATATGACAGTCCACGTGGAGTTTAACAGCCTTTAAAGGAGTCTGAGCGTGTGAGGGGAAAAGAGTCTCTGGTCTGATGAGACAAACTGAACCCTTTGTGTACTGTAAAACTTCGGCCACTATGTCTGGTGAACACAAGGCACTGCTCATCACCTGACTAATACCATCTCTACTGTGTATGGTGGTGGCACCACTGTGGGGGTGCTTTTCAGCAGCAGGGACAGGGATACTGTTCAGAACAGAGGGAATGATTAATGCAGCAAATTACAGAAAGGTCCTAAAGGAAAACCTGTTTCGGAGTGCACAACTTCAGACTGGGGTGACAGTTCACCTTTCAGCACGACAGTGAACTGAAACATGCAGTTAAGATGACGTGGAACCGGCTTCAGGACAAGTCGGAGTGTCCTTGAGGCCCAGCCAAAGCCCAAACTTAAAACACTGAAAAGATCCTTCCTATTCAATGTGGAATTTGAGCGAATCTGCCAGGAGGAATGACATAAACTGCTCAAAGCCAGGTGTGTAAAGCATCTGGAGACTTACTCAAGATGACTCAAAGCTGTAATTGCTGCCAAAGGTGGTTCTACAAATTCAGGGTCTGAAGACTTTTTAAATGAGATTTCAGAGTTGTTTTGTTAAATGTGTAAAAAAAAAAAAAAAAAAAAAAAAATTAAATCTACAAAAAAAAAAAGTGGTCTGAATACTTTGTGAAGCTGCTGTAGTTGTGGAAGGGACATGTCCAATGTTGGAAAACACACATGGAAAGTTGAATTTTGATAGTGTACAGTACACTATACCTACAAGGAATATGTTCACACAAAGCAGAGAAGAGAAAACACTGCTTCTCAAGTGCCACCAGATCACGTTAAACCCTGTAATCCTCTCAAAAATAGGTTATTGCTCAGTGATATCTTTCAGGATGGGTAATAGGAGAAGTGTATCTCTTGTGAGATGTACCAGCGACTTCTTTTTTCCATTTAAAATTAAATAAAAGCCTTTATATTTCTGCACAACTGTCAATTTTCTTAGAAACAAGAAAGGGGATTAATGTCATAAAATAGGATACTAATGTTTGTACTGACTGTTTTAAGATTCATAACTGAATTTTAATAATTGGTTTCAGAATTCTAAATTAATGTTCATAAGCACCCATGATCAAGGCATCATTCAAGAATCATAATCATCATTTCAATCGCATTTAAGCCCAGTTTCTCATCTCAGATACAGTACATGTCTTTATAGTATATCTTTGTAGTAAAATCAACTATCTCCTCACACCGTAGCTTTGTGCTGGGCGCGGTCTCTCCAGCTGTGGTGGTTCCCTCCATGCTGCTGCTGCAGAGGGATGGTTACGGCCTGGAGCAGGGCATCCCCACGCTGCTGATGGCTGCAGGCAGCTTTGATGACATTCTCGCCATCACTGGGTTCACCACCTGCTTGGGCATAGCCTTCGCCACAGGTAGCCAGCCTATATATGCGTTTGGGTGTGCAGAGAGGTGAAGGAGAAGGCTTAGTGTGCACACATCACTGGTCTATTCTTGAGATACAGCACCACCTTATCTTCAGGGTGCGTGGCATCGAGTGCAGTGTACTGCAGTGTACCTGTCAAGTGCTGAAAAGTACCTCAAGTAATTTTTACCTGTAGTTTGTCAGGAGCTCAGAAGATGGTGTAAATGTGCTTTTGTTAAAACAAAGTTGTTCTGAGCCAAACCACAGTTTTTTATACCAGAATGTAGGGCCCCTGTAAGGCTGTACGGCAGCGTTAAAATGTATTTAAATAAGACCACTGTCATACAGTCATAAATTGTATATACATCTTTAGAACAGTAAATTCAGTTTATTGCATTGTATTGTATTGGTTGCATATTTTCTTTGCTGATCCTTCTAGGCTCCACTTGGTACAACCTCCTGAGAGGTGTACTGGAGGTAGCAGGTGGGATGGTTGCTGGGATTCTTCTTGGCTTCCTCATTCAGTACTTTCCTAGTGTTGACCAGGTGCGTGTAGTCTTCTCAGCATTATTGTGATTGGTTTTACCTTTCCACGGCCATCGTTACAAATTTTGATAATCCTACACTGTAGGGAACGATATTTGTAATTTTGCCATGCTCTCCATCACTACAAACCCATGAACTTTGCACTCTCTGTTCTCTCCCCTTATATCTCAAACACATACGCAAGCATCCTACCATTTTTGAAGCGCTTCCTGAACCGGTAGCCCAGATGTAGCTTTAAACATTATCATTGATGTCATATTTTCTAATGATACTTTCTGCTGCGCCAAGTACTCGACACATGCTTCGAAGTGTTCAGCCTACCATTATTAGTTATCAACCAAATATCTGCCAGCATGTTCTTACATTTTGCATTTATAGATTTTTTTTTAATATACTGTATTTCATTATATAAAAATAGTCTGTAAAAATATTTTGCCTTTTTCTCATAGAAACACATAGTGATAAAGCGTTCCTTCTTGGTGCTGGGTCTGTCGATCTTTGCGGTGTTTGGCAGTGGTGTGGCCGGCTTCCCAGGCTCTGGCGGCCTTTGCACACTGGTGTTGGCAATCCTGGCTGGGGCCGGCTGGGGGGGCCTGGGGAGCAGAGAAGGTAATCACATATGCATACATTACCGTAAGGTTATACTTTTGTTTTTCAAATTCTGCTCTTGAGCACACACACACACACACACACACACACACACACACACACACACACTCTCACACACACACACACACACGAAATAAAATGATGGATACTTCATTAAAGCGTCAGTTCTCAGCTTTAATTGGAATAGGTTTAACATCAACATAGAACTGTGAGGGCCGTACAGCTCTTTTAACATTAAGTGCTCAAAGTTGAGGGGTTTGAAAAGAAACTGGACAGATGCACATAAAATCCAACAAAACCACATTACAGTGGTCCTTCGTTAATTGCGGGAGTTACATTCTAAAAATAACCCGCAATAGGCGAAATCCGCAAAGTAGTCAGCTTTATTATTTTTGCAATTATTATAGATGTTTTAAGGCTGTAAAACCCCACACTACACACTTTATATACTTTATACGGACAGTTACAACCCTTTTTGCATCCTTGTTGAAACTTATTGCTGCTGTCGTCCTTATGTTATTTTCCTCCTTCTTTATTTAACGAACCGAAGATTCATTTATTCCGTAATGGCGCCCTACAGCCGCGTAACTTCTACCTTCCTTTAGCATGTCCAGAAGTCCAACTTTTTGTGCGATGGTTAGCATCTTCCTCTGCCTTTTGGGTGCTACCGCAGGTGCCTTCGGCGGTGCAGAACGTTTTGTCGACATTGTGGGGTTTGTTGGGGAGAAAACTTGCAAACATACAGTACAGCACTTCAGAGTCACACTGCTAGCGATCGAAGATTTATGTAAATTTGGCAAGCTGAACGCATTCTGTACTGTACAGGAGACACGGCATGCAAAAAGCATGCAAAATTGCACCCAAAAAAATCCGCAAAACTGTGAGGCTGCAAAAGGTGAACCGCGTTATAGCGAGGGACCACTGTATTTCATATTTTATGCAAATTCCTTTGCAGTCAATGGCTGCCTGAAATCTTTGGCTTTGGTTGTATGTTTAGGATCATTGACCTCCTCAATGATGAAATGTTGTCTGATAGGTTTTGATAACTTTGGCTGAATCTGGGTGGCACAATATTCACAGAGCCTGAAGAACAGAAACACAGGCAACTGTCGATATAGTTCCAGTCTTGACTGTACAGTATTTTCTGGCTCTTCTAGCAATCGTATCATAAAATCACTTTTAAAGTTGACAAAGATTCAATAAACTTTTTTGTCTGTAACAGAAGTTCCTATTTGACAAGACACAATCAAAGACAAAGATACACAAACATAAAAATAACAGGCAGCAACAGTAAAACAGCATGAACAGTGAAAACATCAGTAAACTAAGTTATGAATGTGAGCAGCAGTATTCTTCAAAGACAGGTTTATAGGTGTGAATATTTGTATCTGTCCAGTGTGCTTTATTTAGGGTACGAATAGCTGAGGGGATGAAGGACATTTTAAAGGTGTTCCTTGTAACAAGTGGTAGCCTATAGTGGTAATAGCTGTAAGAACTGGTGAACAGGATGAGAGGGATCTGTGTAATGATGGAGGCTTTCCTTGTTATTGACCAGGGGCCGTATTCACAAACATTCTGAGACAAACTCTGAGAGCTTTTAACTTGGCAAGGAGTCCGAGCTTAGGGGTGACTTAGGAAACTACTCAGCACAACTCGAAGCAAGGACGACACAAAACTTTTATCTCATTGAGGAGGTGTGGCTGACCCCGTTTCTAGGCTTCTTGATCATGTGGGGGCAGTGCCCGCTGCTGAGAAGTGACACATAACTCGGTGTGGTGTTACTAGCCCTCAGTTGTAGGCATGGATTTAACCTCTCATTGGAAGACCAACCAAGAGACTCCATTTTCAAATCTTGCTGCAATGAAATTGCAAATAAAAAGTGGGTAAGGATTTTGGCGTAATAACATTTCAGCCAATCATGTCTCAGTAAGCCAACTCTGTTGAAGGTGGAGCTCGGCCCCACTCTGAGCCCGAGTCAGCGCTGATGGTTGTTATATTTACAGTGATTGCTTACTTTTATTTACTGTGCTGGTCAGTTTAGTACTTATACACTTAATCTATTTGATATTAATGGGAAAAAATGGCAAAAATGTTTTCATTTTCTGATGGTGCGACATGTTTTTACATCTCATCATATATGAACCCAAACCAAACCTTGTCCTAATCCTAACCACTGAGAGGGGGCGCTACAGTAAAGATCCATGTACATTTTGATCTAAGTAGTTTTTGATCCATTTTTTGCTCAAAGACTTTATAATATGTTGTGTGTCACAGAATTACAGTAATCGGACTGAATCGCCGACTTCTTTAAAATGTCTAGCAACAGGTGACTTCAGGTTGTTTCTACATTTGGCATTTGCATGTTTTAACAGGTCCGCTTGTATTCCTAGAATTTTCACATGCTATACAATGGCAACAAGGAAAGGAGTTTGTCATTCTGTCGAGATTTATCTGGGTGGAGATGGTGACCAGAAGAGTCTGCATGTACAAGATAATCCTTTACATTCCTTTAGAGAGAGAAAACAAGACTGTGAGAAAACTGTACTAGACAAACATGGCCTACATACAGAAAGAGCCTCCCAGTGTTTTGCAACAGTTTTTTGTGTGGTTCTTTCCACTGCTATTATGCATTTTTGTCTTTTTTTTATCAGTTTTTGAGCCTTCTTCAAAAGCTTGGACAAGGTCATTTACCCACTGGTCATATTCTGACAGTTTTTGTCCATAAGGTGCGCCTCCAGAGCCATATTGGCTGAATATTTAGAAAGAGTAGTTCACTTGCTGCAGCATGAGATGCAGTTTGTGTAGCTGGAGAAGAGAACTGGTGATAAAGTGCAGCCCTGGAGGAGTCCTGTATTTACAGTACAGCCACTGTACTGAATTTAAAACTGTGGGCGACTACATGCTGTGGCCTGTTTCGTAAAAAGTTGAGGTCTGGCATTGGCTAAGCCTCTCTTGTCTTACAAGTTCTTAGCTCTTTCTCCACTTTGTAGTGGACTTTACCACTATGCATTATGAATTATTAAGGCGTGCTACTTCAGTAAATCAATGATACAATGTCTATGCTGCTGTGTGTCAAGGCAAGCTTACTAAACATTTTTCTATGTTCTGTTTGTCTTAAGGCACATGTGGAGGAAGTGGTAGGCTGGGCATGGGACGTGTTTCAGCCTCTGCTCTTCGGACTCATAGGAGCAGAAATTCGTGTCTCTGAGCTGGAGGGACACACAGTTGGTGGGACAACCACACACACACACACACACACACACACACACACACACACACACACACTGAGATGGCTTGTATCACTGTGAGGGATTCAACTGTGACTGTAGGGATGTAAATATATTTACATAGCCAAAAAAGAATCTCAGGAGAGTTTTCTCTTCGTGTCCAGTAAGACCGTGAGTTTGTGTTAGCAGCTGTACTGTATGCTGCACTTCCATATTAATGTCCTTTCCTAGTTACTTGGGGAACCAGTCTTAGACTTCTTCCAATAAAATAATCTTATTTGTGACAGAATAAAGGTCAGAAATTTGGTTTTCTGAAAGTAGCTGTGTTATAATGACTCTGTAGACTTGCCTTCACTCCTAAACCCACACAGAACTTTATTTGGTGCTGGTGATAATATACGTAGCTACACACTCACTGGAATTGTTAATAGTCTTCTTTTGTTAGACAATCTTGGTAGAACAGTACCAGTGGTTGGACAGCTGAGCAAACCCGGCTCTCAGAGGTGACCGCTATTACAAACCAGTTGGCCCAGCACTGCTTACTTAACCTGAGCAAATACAATGCAGATCCTGTGAATCAAGCCACATATCTGCTCCTTGCTTGGGTGGGGACAGGGTTCAGGGCTGCATTGGGTTTAAGGGTAGGTTTGGAAAATGGTGTTGCTCATTGTGGGGCTATGAAGATTTATGACGGCATGGCCTGACACCCCCGTCTTTGGGGCCAAATGGTGGGTAAACATCATTTAACTCATAAACTGAGCTTCCATATGAATGCTTCTCCATTCTTTGGCACATTTAATTGTGTATTCCATCCATCCATCTTTGTCTGCTTTATCCGAGACCGGGTTGCGGGGGTAGTATTCTGAGCAGCGCCTCCCAGACTTCCCTCTCCCCACACACCTCCTCTGGCTCCTCAGGAGGAACCCCTAGGGATGTAGATTGACCAGTAAATTGAGAGCTTTGCCTTACGACTCAGCTCCTTCTTCACCACAGCGGACCGGTACCAGAGACTGAATTACTGCGGACGCCGCACCGATCCGTCTGTCAACCTGCCGCTCCATTTTTCCCTCACTTGTGAACAAGACCCCGAGATACTTAAACTCCTCCACTTGTGTAATTGTGTATTATTATCAATAATATATAAAAACATGCCAGGAACATATTTGTAGTGCTGATGTACTGTGTATTTGTGCTTTGGGGTTGTGTGTCAAGGACATGAACCGTTTTAGAAAACATCTCTCTGAACACTCTCTTTGGCCCATTAAACAAAACTGTGCACTACTTTAAAAAAAAAAACCATGACAGCAGCAGATGTTGATGGTGTTATTTGACTACAGGCTTGAAAATGTTGAAAACCCTGCTCCAGTTAATTTTCTAAGCTGTTCCAAAGTTGCTCCTGCACTAGAGGATATGCACCATACATGATCCACAGTTAGAATAGACTGTATGTCTAAGTAATGTGGTATATAAGCACCACTCTGGCAGCCTGAATTTTGAGATTATTCACTATTCCTGTGCCACTTTGGACCACAGCTAAGAGGAAACACTAGTGCCATAATTATGGTTTATTTACAGCGCCAACATGGTGTGACATGTCTGTATGACTTTTGTCTATTTTCCTGTGCAGGTTTGGGTATAGCCTCTCTGCTCATCAGCCTGCTGGTTCGAGTCCTGTTCACCTTTGTTTGTGTGCTATGTGCAGGCTTTAACATGAGGGAAAAGGTATTTATAGCCTTAGCATGGATACCCAAAGCCACAGTGCAGGTATGCCAATGTTGAAATGTTCTCACCATTCTTGTAGCTAGTTTAAATCCTGAGTTTAGTGTATGCCTCTTTTGTAGTAAGTCATTTTTCTGCTACACTTATACAAACATTTTCTGTTGAGAGCATCTAAATTACTCCCAATATTTCTTTCATTGAAGTGTTCTCTCATGGTAATGATGGCATAGATGAAACGCCGTTGTTGTCTTTTTCCTCATTAGGCAGCTATAGGCTCAACAGCTTTAGACATGGCCAGAACAAAGGAGGACAAGCAGCTGCAGAAGTATGGCCTAGATGTGCTGACAGTGGCTGTGCTGGCCATCCTTCTCACAGCCCCTGTAGGGGCTCTTATCATTGGGCTTTCTGGTCCTCACCTGTTGCAGAGACCGAAGAACTCAGCCTGTGGTGAGCAAGTCAAACCCTGTTTATCAGCCTTTTTCTTAGGTAGGTCAAGTTCTGCATTTACCATTGTCCAACTTTGCATCATACTGTAGTTGTGTTGGAGTACTGAATCTCTATTCCATGCAAAGCTTTTGTTTACTTGATCTTTCTGATAGCTGTGTCTACTTAGGCAAAGATTTGCACACCTTATAGGGTGGCTGTTTACCCTGTCATTCAACAACTTCCTGTCTGTTGTTACATTGGATTAACCATTAGCCATTTTCTTCCCATCTCTTTTGTTTCTTTCAGGAACTGCAGCAGGAGCTGAAGGTGAAACTCCTGTCACCTATGAGAGCACACTCTGACATCTCCTGTCATCACCCAGGAAGTAAGGACATTTCAAGGGGATTCCCGTGTGATTTCACACCAGATTTCCTTCAGCCACTGAGTGGCTCTTTGTGTGTGTGTGTCTGTCTATCTCTATATGGCGGGCAGCTCCAGACGTTTGCCAGCTGTAGGAGCACATGAATCACTCTGTATTTATAGCCTCTGGGGGCTTCCAGACCTCAGGCTCTAAACAAATGACCCACATCCCAGTGTCTGCACTGTCATAAAGTTACACAAAAGATGGATTTGTTTCTGGCCTAAATTAATGTTTAACCATATACAATATTTATGTTAGGGATATTAATATATTTTACACTTTTGTAAATGTAGATATTCTTTACATCATATTTTTTATTTTATACATATGCACTGTAAATGGATTTGTTTGATTTGTCTGAATTTATATTACCTCATTTAAGAGGTTCTTATGTATTATTAGAAACTATTTGATGAGTTTACAGAATTGAGCAGCATTGGGCTTCTTAACTAAACATTATTTGAACAATAAATGATAAAATATACAAGAAGTGTCCATCTGTTGAATTTTGAAGTGGCTGTATATAAAGTATTACATTCTTTTGTGTAGTGATGACACAATTGTAGTTTTAAAAAAATGTGCAGCATCTGTATATTTTAACATTTTGATGTGTTTTGTACTGTTTATCTCAGCTCAATGTTAGGAATCAGTATTCCTGGGAGTAATTATTGGGCACTGTATTGTTACACTGTTAAATTCTTTTCACAGACTTTCACATATTTCCTAGCAAAAAACAGCTACTTATTACTTTAATTTATGAAATGAGAAAAACTTAAGCATCGCATTGGTGGGTAGCTTGTCTAAAATAGGTTTTACTTTAAAACATTTTTTAACATTTCTAAACACTTTCTCATTCATTTACACGTCACCCCAAGGTTATATTAAGTGTTCCCCAGTGTTTATAGTGAAACATCCTGACTATTCCTTTTTACATTTCAAATACAGAATGAATAAATTCCAGAGGTTTTCTTACAAGTATTCATAAATGCAGTTATTCATAGATACAGTGGGTACGGAAAGTATTCAGACCCCCTTAAATTTTTCACTCTTTGTTATATTGCAGCCATATGCTAAAATCATTTAAGTTCATTTTTTTCCTCATTAATGTACACACAGCACCCCATATTGACAGAAAAACACAGAATTTTTGACATTTTTGCAGATTTATTAAAAAAGAAAAACTGAAATATCACATGGTCATAAGTATTAAACCCAATTGAGCATCTCTGGAGAGACCTGAAAATGGCTGTCCACCAACGTTTACCATCCAACCTGACAGAACAGGAGAGGATCTGCCAGG